TCGAAACTTTGTCATCCAGTAAATAATAATACTGTTTCTTCACTGTGTGATACATCTAATAAACAAACTAATATGGAATTACATACTGCCACAGTGCCCAAGTTTTACACATATATATATTAACAGTGAGAAGAGTCCACTCTTATACTGATCATAACGTTTAGTGGAGTCACACATTTTGATGCAAAGCACTTAAGGAGAATATCATTCTTGTAAACAAACTTGGAGATTGAAGGAGTGAAAGACTGAGAGAAGAAGTGTTGCGTACCAGGCTGAAACGTATGCCTCATGTCTATAATATTGTATGAGGCATATCAGATCAACAATGGTTATGAAAACAACTACATAATCAGAGTCTGAAGTCCATACTTCTGGTTTACTGTGACTACAGAATAATGAAATAAGTTACATGCACCATTCGAATTAAACAAAATATAAAGCTTCCTTCCACGTAAATGTGAGAAAATATTGAATTTACAAATAATTGAATTTAAGGCATGTTCAGCATCCTCACTCAGTGGAAATAGTGACAAGATTACTCTCATAAAATCCTTTCACACAAGTTATTTCTGAGTTATTTCAAAGTTAGTTAATAAAAGAAACATTTCATCAAGGAAAGTGCTGCAGTTAGCTATGATAACTGATGGTAGCCGTTGTTTGTTTTTTTCGCCTGACGTGAAACATAGTCAGTAGTGTGTGTGTGTGTGTGTGTGGAGGAAAACTTAACTTATTTCAAATATTAAACTACATTGACAATCAAGTGTTTCGCGAAGAGAAGTGATTCAGTTCAGTCAGTTGGAAAGATTCATGCATGATAAAATGGAACATAATTCAAGTTGATTTAATTGAATTTTAGATTTTTCCCGTCGACTGATTGGACCGAAGTGCTCGGTCTCAGGTTGACATGTCGGCTTCTTGATCAAATGCTTCGACAATGTCTGGGCATTTAATTAGTATTTAATTGGTGGATGGTGGCTAGCAGTACAACCCAGGACGCACATTTCGTCCTATTTGGGACTCGTTAGCTGGATGTACCTGCATTTCTCAGTGAGTGATGATGTTCCAACCGAGGCCTGAACCCAGTGCCCATAGTTTCCAACGCCAAGGCGTTATCCACTAGACCACTTGGGCCACGAGAGCCACCCCGGCTCTTGTGCAACGGGTCATATTGATTTAATTGAATTTTAGGTCGAAATGCGCATCCTGGATTGGATTCCACTGCTAGTCACCATCCACCAATTAAATACTAATTAAATGCCCAGACATCGTCGAAGCATCTGCTCAAGAAGCCGACATGTCAACCTGAGACCGAGCACTTCGGTCCAATCAATCGACGGGAAAAATCTAAAATTCAAATAAATCAATATGACCCGTTGCACAAGAGCCAGGGTGGCTCTCGTGGCCCAAGTGGTCTAGTGGATAACTCTTTGGCGTTGGAAACTATGGGCACTGGGTTCGAGCCTCGGTGGGAACACCATCACTCACTGAGAAATGCAGGTACATCCAGCTAACGAGTCCCAAATAGGACGAAATGCGCATCCTGACTGGATTGCACTGCTAGTCACCATTCACCAATTAAATAATTCAAGTTGTGTTAAAAGTGAACATATTTAGTAAACTTACCGGTGTGATAGTGGGTGGCATTCTTATATTTGTTATTGGGACATTTTTCTGTACACTAGGCAAACTTGTCGAAGATGCAGTAACTTGAAATCTTATACTGATTAGATCGCCTACTTTAAGGGCGGCATTAAAAAAAAACTTGATCCCAACTCTGAAATTATAAGTATCACTCAATGAAGTTTTGTTGTTTTCAAAAAAACCCAGCGGTGTGTTTGCTCCCACTCTCCGTCTATTTGAACTTTGCACATTGTATTCTGATATAAGTCTGATCTGCAAGATAAGATATATAAGTTTTGATTAAAAAAAACAGACAGCAAAATAAAGCCACTGTCAAAAGTGGAACCTGAAAGTTGAGTTATTTTGTTGTGGAAATAGATGTTGAAAGGCAAATATTATGTAATAGGCTGGCGGATCTTTTTCACTAGACAATATCTTCTGTTTGACTAAAGTGTGTGTGTGTGTGTGTGTGTTAGGTCACACTGTCACAAGTCTATTCTCTTATCACATGCATTTATACTGTTTCAATTCATTACACATACTTTCCAATGACATTAGACACATGTGGTAGTGTGGTGAGAGCTGGCTGCTAGCCAAAGTTAGTAGACAGAGTAATTGACGTCAATGTTTGTATGTCCCCAATATTGGTGGTGAGAAAATGAGAACAAAGGCTTTGCGTAGGCGGATACAGTTAGCATATGGATGATCTGACACAGCCACAAAGAGATGCAAGGTTAACTTTCTGTGAGAAACAACCAATCAAACGACTGTACTTTCTACTAACAATAATCTACAATAATATACATTAAAATCTATAAATATGTGTTGATTTTCCTTAATAAACGATCTGTTGCCTGGCCCTTGTCTTCTGTTGTTACAATAGGCCATTCAGACAAGCATCTGTTGTTGCTGCACTGAATCTCTTCCTGCTGTTTATGTTTGTCAGTGTAAAGTTGTCAAAATAGAATCAGGTTGAGTAAGCATAGACTGTCCAACTTTGCTGATCTAAGAAAATACAGATATGTATCACTCTAGAAACTATGACCATGAATTTATCTCATCACACAATGAAATATACTGAATATCGGTGTGAATACAGCAGATATAGTGTAGTTTTTGACTTGATCATGCCAGAACCATTACGTGAATGATTTATATATGTAAGTATATGCGGATTCAATTTCACTCACTATTATTTTATATGCTAACAGCCTTAGTTTTATCACTTCCTAATACTTTTATTTAAATATTTCAAGTATTCTATTACCACCTAAAGAGAATGGAGAATGTCTTAAAGGATGGAATGGATGATTTGAGCAAAGTTTCCATGTGAGTATTATTGATATAAGAATAAAACTTGTGCACTGTGGTAGAGTGTAATTCCATTATGGGTAAATTTTGTTTTGATAAAGTCTCACAGAGTTATACAGTAATGTTTACTGATGACCACGTTTCGAGCACAATTTATCACTGCTCATAATCATATCAAGGTAATCACACGACTTCCTAAATTCATTTATATAGTTCCATTGTTTTTCACTTGATTTTCACTTGATTTGATTGGTAGTAATATTTTCTATATTTCGGGTATGAGTGATGAATCATTCCTATTGCATGTGTTGGGTGTAGACTCGATGAACAAAGCAGGATTCAGTAATCAACTTCTTCCTCTCTCCACCTACCTAGATTACATTTTAGAATTTTAACCCTCTCCCACCCTATTGTGTGGTTGTGTGCTAATGCATGCATTGCGATTGCTGAGCTTTTTTCTAAATTGCTTATCTTCTCGGGGTCAACCATTCTTACCTTAGCTAAATTTTTATGTTCTGACAATCTGACTACCCCTGACCTAATAGTTTGACCTATGTAGTTGAGCTAACTCACATCCATTGCAAGGTATTTTGTAAATTATATAATTTTGTCTAATTGGGTCAACTGGGTCCTTTAACCTACAGAGCTTGCCCTACCTGAGTGAGTTTGTAGGTTTAAATGCCACCCTAGTTCCTGCTTTATTTAGAATTCTACGTAGGGTCCCAGATGTCCCCTCTTTATATGGTATAACTGTAGATGACTTATATTCTCTCTTATTTATGTTATTATTACTAGTTTCACAATTCTTTTTATTTTTCTTTTGGCCTTTCTCAATCTTCCTAATGAATTTTAAAGGATAGTTATTTAACACCAACATCCTTGTTCATCGAATCTACACCCAACACATGGCAATAGGAATGATTCATCACTCATACCCGAAATATAGAAAATATTACTACCAATCAAATCAAGTGAAAATCAAGTGAAAAACAATGGAACTATATAAATGAATTTAGGAAGTCGTGTGATTACCTTGATATGATTATGAGCAGTGATAAATTGTGCTCGAAACATGGTCATCAGTAAACATTACTGTATAACTCTGTGAGACTTTATCAAAACAAAATTTACCCATAATGAAATTTCCATGTAAGTCCTTCACAGTTTCATGTAACACTTTTTTTTCTTATTCTTTTAATTTCCCAGTGAAAAATCGGCCTTTAAGCTAGAGCAATAAAGTTTCAGTATCAGTGGTGTTTATTTTTACGGGATGGAGCTGCTGGCCTAATGCCCAACTTTCTTTCTTTCTTTACCGGTGATATTACTGGCTTAGAGAGGTAATGGGGTAGTGTATCGAACTGAGATCGAACCCCAAACTACATGCATGGTTGACAAACATTCTGCCAGAAAGCCACAGACACCACATAACACATACCTGCGATTATACCATATTTCACTTGAAAACTATGCAGAATAGCTTTAACCTATTTGTTAATCAAATGGCATGAGTTAGCTGCCTTACATGCACACCACTCCAGTGAATTGCACCTCATCTCATATGCAGAATTTAATCTTTTTATTAGGTGGTGCTACTATACGGATCAGAGACTTGGTCAGCGCGTCATAAGGAGCATCTCAAACAAACTACACACCTTCATTAACAGTTGTCTTCTCTCAGTACTACTCAAGATCAGATGGCCGACCAGAGTTGATCAGCAACAGAGATCTCTGGCAATGAGCGAACCAACACAGCAGGAACCGATTGTGCAACAAATAGGCAGGAAGAAATGGAGATGGATTGGCTGGCCATACTCTGAGGAAACCATCAAGTGAGTGACATCACTAGACAAGCCACCGCTCGAGTGGAACCCGAAAGGGAAGCGGCGAGTTGGTCGTCAGTGCAAGGGTGTGTGACTTGGAGGAGGTCATGTGAAGAGGAGATGAAGGCGTGTGGGCAGACATGGAGCCAGGTGAAGACTCTAGTAGAGAACCGAACGCAATGGAGACGAGCGGCTGAAGCCCTATTTTTACTGTAGGAATTAAAGGATACAATAATAATATTATAATAATTAGGTGGTTTTATTCAGACATATAGAGAGTTGCTGTAAAAAAAATTACACATAATGTACTCACATTTCTAATTGCATTGGAATTATCCTTGTCAACGTATAAATACTCCACATGATATATTTCAGCATATGTAGAAGTAATTGAAAGTGAGTTTAAAGTAAAGAAACCGGATGTTAAATAAGGCATTATAAGTTGAACATTGAAATACTTAACCATTTCGAGTTGATCCATGAATTCAATATCACCTACTACCATTGAACACTGTGATACCTAGATAAATTAAGTTAGCATAAATTTATTTTTAGAATATCCTACATTTACGTAATTGGAATATCTATAGCCTGCGCTTTCACAGATTCCTGTGGTCACATTCATTCCGGTTGGTTCGATCCTAGCTTCGAACCTTTCAGTAGGAAGACTTCTCGTTGAAATTTGAATGTAAGCTGTCAAACGAACTGATCGATTGGATATCGAAAGAGAAGTATCATATAGTCCTAGGGTGAAAATTAAAAATTAAAAGATCAATTACAAATACACACATAGTGCAGCTGCTAGCTGTGTAGACAAACAATTTGAAAGCGAATGAATACGCGTCATACTCTGTAAGCCAGTTAGAGATAACTTGTTTAAGTGAAACACATTCTCAATGCTGTATTGTCACTAGAAATCATGGTCATAAAAAATGTATAGAGAATTCACTGGGTCAGAGTGAAAGGCGCTTCCATATCTGTTCACATAGTGCCGCATGATTCTGTCTTCAGACAACATGAAGAGCAAAAAGGCCTAACCTGAAAAATGCCAGTCTTCATCGGCGATAATGTAACTGGAAGTTTTCAGAATGATTATTTTCACACCAGAGTTACTTCAGCATTCAGGTACGCTCCATATGAATGTGTTATTTGTGAAGCCTTCATCATTTTTCCTGACAAAATCATTGGCGCTAAATTCATTTTAAAGAGCCCGAATAGCACAGTGGTAATGTCTCTGATTGCAGCACTAGGTGATGCGGGTTCAAATCTCAGAAGGGATATGAGTTTCTTCGAGGTTGCAGATACGCCTTGTTCTGCGTCGGTGGCATAGCGGTTAGGACGCTCGCCGACCATGCACATGGTCCGGGGTTCGATCCCCGGCCAACGACGCACTCCTTTACCTTGCTAAGCCAGAAATAATGCTGGTGAAGAGAAAAAGTTGGGCATGAGGCTAGCAACCCCATCCTGTAAAATAAACACTGCTACAGAAACTTCAAGCCACTAGCTTGTAGCCCTATGTTCCACTGGGGAACGTGAAGGAAAAAGAAAAAAAAACTACTAATCAACTGACTTTTATTCGAGTCAATTATGCCGAAACAGACTTTTGTATAACTAACTGTCTACGCATTTCTTGTTAACAGTTTATGTAGAGTGTTTTGTTATAGACTCAGGAAACTGATTTATTTCAACTTTCATTGAAACAATTTCACAAATGAAAATCTCTGATTTTTTAAAATTTTTATTTTGATTACAGCTTGATGCTACACCGTATTTTCAGTACAAGTATGGAATTTTCAGCATGGATATCGGTAACCCAAATTTTGCAAGCCGTCCATAGATATCGGGTGTGCGTCGGCAGGGGATCGAACCCCGGACCATGTGCATGGTCGGCGAGTGTCCTAACCACTGTGCCACCAACGCACGTTTTAAAAGTAGACGATAATAAATGGTTTCTACATTTTTTTGTATATCAGTGTGGGGTGTGTTTTACTTCCTGAAGACATATAGATCAGGTTTTGAAGGAGAGCTCTGAAATTAATTGCTTGACTTCAGACTTGCCACCACCACCACCGTTTACATTGAAACTTGATACTACTTAGTGGAAAGATTACGAGCTATTGTGCTCGATGGTTCATAACGCGACCGAAGCTTCTATTTTTTTCCCATCTACAGCAGATCAATGGAGAGGTGTAACATACAACATTCGCGTTTTTCTCTACGATATCTGTAACCATATTCCATAATCTGAGAATTTGATTTGGACAAGTTTCACCGACATATGTAAATACAATTTAATGTGTGGACACGCTGGAAACAACAGTCATCATAAAAACTTATATTTTGCATAGAAGAAATATCCCATTATTATGTAGAATATTGAGCACAACACAGGATGAATAAACCTACCTAAACTCTGCAAATTTTTAACACTTATAGAGCTTAATGATGTGTGAAAATATGAATTGAATGAAGTTTGTTCTGTATTCATTTCATATATTTCTGGATACGTGGCAAAAGTGTCAGGAATCGTGATAAACATATGTCCAATTGAAGTTGTTCTTGAAAAAGCACTGAAAGTGAACTGTAAAAAAATTGTTAGAACGCTTGTTCGGTATAACTAATTTACTAGATTGATGGCTTCTCTAGTCTGTCCCAAGCGAGATAAAAGAGGAAGCGCAGGGCTAGCGACCCTACACCAAAATAAACCCAATCAAACTCCTACAGAAACTTCAACGAACAAGAAAAACATTGAAAATACAAAAAATACATTAAACAAACTTGTTTTTCTCTGAAATCTGATGGGCGAAATGACACAGCCGGCTGGTGAAAGACATAAGGAAGCCAGTCAGCCAGCCAGAGATGATGTGTTCTCTCTCGATGTAAGCAAGAATAAGAATGAGTACATGGAAAGTCCCTACAATGTACTAGACAGGAGTGAGAAGACATGGTAGAGAAGTGATGGAAATCTGAAAGAGCAGATGCAATGCATGTGGACTGTCAACATTGTCAACTGAAGATTCAATAATCTACTCCCATCTGGTCATCCAGACAACAACTCCAACCACCCTGAGACAGCCAGTGGCTGTCATGATATCACCACTGGCAACCAAGTGTCTTAATGCAGTGGGTACTAATCACTCGCTGCAGGATTATACCGACAAGATGCAACTTAGAAAGACGGAATGAAGGAAAGAAGGTAGGTTACAATCATCCAATGCTACACAAAGTGCTACAAACAACGCGGAGGAAGAGAAGAAGGAAAACTTCCACAGACAACTGCAAGCAACACTAGACAACATCCCGAATGGCGATATCAAAATCCTTATCGGCGATACGAATGCAAGCCAAACTGAGAGCAGAAAACACTGCAAGAGAACTCTTCATTGGTCGAGAGGCTCTCGTTCAGCGAAATGAATGATAGCAGAGATGCCTTCACAGAATTCCACGCCTTCAATGATTTGGTGTTTGGAGACAGCGTGTATAAGCACAGGAATACACACAAGGTCAGTGACATGAACTTCACCTGAAGAACAAACAAAAAACCGGATAGATTTCATCTCAATGCTGTTCAAGGAAGTGGAGATGCAGATAGTCTGCTGGACACGAAGTCAAGAAGCAGAGAAGATGTGGGCTCACACCATCATCTACTTCAAACAACCCTCAACGTCAAGCTGAAAGCCTTCAGAACCACTGCAGACAGACGACAATTCAAGTTCAACACACAGAAGCTGAGCTGATGGACAAAACTACAAGGGATACCTTCATTATCAAACAGATCATATCATATCATATGAGACCAGAGCGCGGTTGGAGACACTACGTGGCACCACTGAGGAAATCTGCGTGGAAGAACATTGCAACTAACTCTCTGTGGATAATGTTCAAGGAAGCAACGCATACAACCGTTTTAGGAAGAAAGAAGAGACGAGACTAGACAAGACTAGGAATGACTCTCCACGAACACCTATCTGGAAGCTAATAGAAGGTAGGAGAGGAGGATGGTGAAGTAGAAGATGACTGAATGCAAAGATGGCGAACAGCAGGAGAAGCTAATTTCAATGCACATCACACTGAATAAAGAAGTTTAGAAGATCACGAGGAAAGACAAAAGACAATTCTGCAACACACTGGCCGACAACTGTATCAGAACAGGCAGGCAGGCAGGCGGCAGGTAAAACAGACGTCAGAACATTACATCAGAAAACTAGGTCTCTATATGAGAAGAGATCAACCCAGATGATGAAAGCGATAAAAGATGTTTAGGGGAATCTGATTACCAAGGAGGGGAGACAAATACGGCCATAGGCTGATCACTTTAAAGGACTCTTGAATCGTTGGTATTAGATTAGTATCAGTGGAGACGCACGGCTGAAGACCTATGTTCCTCTAGGAATTAAGGGAAACAATAATAATAAGAGAATTTTCTATACAGAAAGCTTTTCGTTTGTGTTTCAACATGGATTATTGACTGGAAATGGGTTTTCGTTGACTAGTCATTGTGGATATATATTTTTTTATATTCACAGCTTGATGCCATACCGTATTTTCAGTACAAGTATGGAATTTTCAGCATGGATATCGGTAACCCAAATTTTGCAGGCCGACCATAGATATCGGGTGTGCGTCGGCAGGGGATTGAAACCCGGACCATATGCATGGTCGGCGAGTGTCCTAACCACTGTGCCACCGACACAGTTTTGAAATCCCTCTAAACGGAAGCGCTTGTAATGTATCGAGTTTTGGTGTGTGTGATTGTAGTTATTTCGACTTTTTATCTCTACCAAAATTAATCAGACCAATTTTATTCCACAAAGTACACTTTATTTTACAGTTCTTTACAAGGATGATGATGTTTTCAGTCTAATTTTCAATCTTTTGTTTAGCGCTTATAAATATTTTTAGGGATTGATTAGAAACAATCTGCTATTACATGTTTAAGCATACAAACTGAGTTTCAAAAGAACACGCACTTTACTCTTTACACTTCATACCGTCTGTGCAGTACGACCTGACTAAATAGTGAATTACATACTACCCTTTAGTTTCAAGGGTATTTTTCTAAATCTAGATTCAACAGGGTGACAAAAACTCCTGAAAGACCAAAATAGATCGCAAATGGCTGAGAAATAATAATTAAATATGATTAGAAAACTAGCTGCATAATATGTACAATAGAGCTTAATGAATGGGATGAGAGGGGAAACAAATTGAGACAACTACTAGATTTTTGTTTGTAACTCACTCCGACGTGCATATATTGGTTCATCTGCTCCTGAGAAACTAGGCACATAGATCCTTCCATGAGCCTCCTTTCAAAATATGCTAGAGAACACTATCTAGCATAACTGCAAGGAGGTGGCACCGGTTCAATCAGAAATGATATGATTGAACACCTCTTTGGCACCTGTTGGCACAACATCTGGTAAGGGTAGTATGTTTCGAACTTTTTTTCTACTGTAGAAGACGTTGCCATACGAATAGAGAATACGAAGTTGCATTCATAAAGAACTAGTCCAGCCAATACATTTACCATGGATTAAGTTCTGTTTGGCTTCTTAGTTGTTGATTTTGCAATCCCTTCATTTATTTTCAACATCAATTTTAAAACAGGAAACGTATTGTTTCAATATGTTTCAATGCGGATCGATTTGACACCCATTCTTCGTTTGAGAATTGTTTTCAAGTTGTGGAAAATATCCATTAGGACATTGGGGAGAGTTAACGAAAAGCTCAGCTTCCACATGTCATGCAAAATGTTTTTCTTATCCCCTGTAATTTCGTTTCTATGCCTATTGTGTAATCTAATTTCATCTGTCAACATACATACGAACTTTCATGTCACATGTGTTGTAAAGATTGTGAGAATGAAGTCGCTGAAATGACGTCTATGTTGAGCTACCTTTTTTCTTTTGTCTCTTATTATTTACTACAGCGAAAATTGGGATGGTGAAGTATGCTGAAGGGACAGTACCAGTAAAAATCTAAAAATCAATAACTAAATTTCAATTGCCACATGGTCAGGAAAACACCGAGAAAACTATGATAGCGTACTGCATAGTGATTTCTCTATCAATCACATGACTATTGATACGTTTTAACAATCTTCGATATGAAATAGTCAACGTTCAACCTTACAGTTGAAAAAAAAACAACAACAGGAATTCATTCTGTCGTCTGAAGCAAACTAGCAGTCAAATCCTGCATCAGGAAAATTCACATAGATCTGTGTCACCTCTGACATAAAATATTTTAACTTTTTATTTTTGATAATTAGCCTTCTGTCAACATCTGCGGTGTCTGAGACTCATATATTTCTGGGAAGAAAAAATTGGACGGATTTAGTGTACATTCATGTATGTCAATGAAAAAGAGTAAACTTACCACATAATCGCTAATAGGTCTGCTTATAAAAAACTCAACGGAGTATTCATACACTCCCCCAAATGCGACTTCTTGAGGGCATTTTATAAACTTGACTGCATCATTCTGTTGTGGACAGATTTCAGATACCACTAGAGGGAGCGCCACACTTATGTTTGTGTCCAGAATGGCATCCAAATTGAATATCAAATTAGTTCCAATTGATGGAGCTGCCATGTCGGAAAACAGCCCGACTGTAAAACGTATCTTAAAGGTGAAATCACTTAAATTTGTCGAAGGAGATGACAAAATTGTTGTCGGGCCTAGAAGCATAGTAAATCTCGAAGGCTGAAGAGAAAACAAAAAGATTCATGTAATGTTTTTTAAAAACCTAATAAGGATTTGAGATGTTTAGAGATTAATGGCTTTCATTATCTCATATTACTATTTCTACTAGTCAGTTACACGTTCAGTATGGGTACTTAGAATTTCAAGGTGAAGAGACAGTCGTAAATCTGTGGAATATTTTGACCATGATATTAGCCACAAATAAGTACTAATCAGATCACAGAGCTCAGCATGTCAGCTTACAGTGTCCTTTGTTCAGTGTCTTTTCTCGATGATCTAAATCCAGAATCGATCATTAACATGAGCTTTGGAAGCAGAATATTTTTGTGTAACAAGTATAGACATTAGTTGTCATACGAAATGTTACTTGATGGTGATAGTCGGTGCTTGATTTTTCAGAAATTAAGAATGTCGTTTCATTCCGTCAATTTCAGAATTTTCAAGTATTGGTTTTGTAGGGATTTTTTTGTTTGATTGGTTGGAGGATTTCATCATGAGTTGACATCATTTAGAGAACCACTGGAAAACCTGGGAGTACTGGACAGCTGTTTCGTCCTAGTTTGGGACGTCCTAGTGGGAAGCCGTGACCAGTAGGGTACAGCAGGTTGAAGATGAGGCAGTAACTCATCGAAGAAGACATTGCGAAATGGTCGCACTGTGTCGTGAATTGGTAGAAGTTAGAATTCAAGGACCACCGGATCGGGTCCCAGTGGCTCAATGGTCTACGAGCTCGTCTTGTAACCAGAAGGTCCTGGGTTCGAAACCCGGTGGGTGCGTACTGCTGAGGAGTCTCAACTTTGGATAGAACAGCTGTCCAGTGCTACCAGGTTTTTCAGTGGTTCTCTAACTGATGTCAGCTTATGATGAATTCCTCCAACCAATCAAATTTCAGAATTACTGGTATATTCTTAGACCATTCCTCTGTATAACATGGTGCCTTGTACGCACAACAACAGTCTCTATTTCTCCCAAACACACCACCTCATGAGGAATCCGCAGAAAATATTACCTTCCAAGTTGTTAATTTAAGAGCACACAAACACACAACAAATCATCACACAGGTGTCATTTTCTTCATGCAAAATTTAGTTTTAGGATACATGTCAATGCAAACGACAGTTAGTTTAACAATAGTAATCAATTAATGATAACAAAATATTTACCAAATGACGTCTGTTTTCACAAAGGTATCTGAAGTTATTCCACACAACTAATGTTCTGGAAGTTATCAGACAAATTTCGCATTCTTCTATCAATATTACGAGGGGATTAGTTTTTTTGACGTGGAGATCGAACTACGTAAACATAACTCATTATTGATAACTCAGAAATTGGAAAATATCGAAGTAGTTTACTGAATTTCAGTTAGTATACTAGAAGATTAGAGAAAGTAAATTCATTATTTAACACCTTAGAATTAGAAATGATTCAGATTTTGGTCTGATTTTGTTTCTTGCTGAGGCCTAATCGTTACTCGTCTTTCTTAGATCAGTCATTCATCAAAATCATCCAGCCTGAATGAAACTCCATCGAATATTTGACTTTAACTATTCGGTATCAAATGAAATATATATAAATATAATACCATCCACATGCATTATATATTTATATTTACATTTAAAAAACGGTGAGCAGTGTGTGACTACTCGGCCATATGTAGCGGTAGCGATCAGTACGATCAGTACCTGATCTGTGTCTGTGAAGAAAATATGTACGCCTACACTAAACTCAACACATTTGGTGACAATATCAAACCTTGATCCCCTATTCCATTATATTCCTTTAAAGTTTTGGCTTCACTTCCACTTCATACGTCGACAATTTTATCCTGTTACTGTTAGTCATATACTAAGTTGAAGCAATACTTTGCAAATTTCCTTATACTGTCAACGCTTTCAGACATTTCTTTCACTAACCACTATTTTTTTTTCTTCAAGTTCCCCAGTGGAACATAGGGCTACAAGCTAGTGGCTTGAAGTTTCTGTAGCAGTGTTTATTTTACAGGATGGGGTTGCTAGCCTCATGCCCAACCTTTCCTCTTCACCAGCATTATTTCTGGCTTAGCAAGGTAAAGGATTGCGTCGGTGGCCGGCAATCGAACCCCGGACCATGTGCATGGTCGGCGAGCATCCTAACCGCTGTTCCACCGACGCACACTATATTGAATATAAAAGACTACATCAAGAAAATAAACAATATACTGTCAGATAAAGACAATTTTCCCCAACCTTCTAGGGAAAAAAAACAAAACTGAACTGATTGAGTAGCAGCTCACAGCTCACATCCTGAAGAGAATGAAAGCCATTCAACTGATCAGTTGTGATATCTATGAACAGATCCGGCCAACAGGTTCAATAATACCAAGACTTTATGGTCCACCAAAGATATACAAGGTTGGTCTTCCACTTCGTCCAATTCTGGATATATCAGGTTCCCGCCTACCATTCTATTTCAAAATGGCTGCCAGATATTCTGTAACCTGTAAGGAAACAATTATGTACGCATTCGCTCCATGTGACGCTTTCCAGTTTATCGACTGCATACAAGACCTGACTGTTTCTAAAAAAATTATGCTGTTGTTCGACATTGAGTCACTTTTCACTAAATAGCCTGTTTTATATGTAAATATATATATGGATGAAAACTATCTCATTATTGGAATACAAACAGCAAATTTGAAGGAATTACTACTGAGATGCACTCTGAACGTACAGTTCACTTTCAACGACACCATCTATAAATAAGAAGGTGATATTGCAATGGGATTTCCGTTGGGTTCACTATTATCAGATTGCTTCGTGGCAAGCCTCCAGAAAGGTTCATTAAAGCGGAGCATCGAAAATTTACGTCTGTATAAAAGATACGTAGGTGACATGTTTATTATTTGTGACAACAGTTATGACCCCAATCTACTGCTGCAGACATTTAACTGTTGCCATCCAGAAATAAAATTTACTCATGAAATGGAAAACGAATCAAAAATTCTTTTCTTGATGTGGAACTAACAAGAAGAACTGATAGGGTCTTAAGAAGATCGATCCATAGAAAAGCTACTTGGAATGGTCAACTAACAAGATTCTATAGCTGGGTAACCATTCAACAAAAGCGGAATTTAATTAAATCCCTCGCCACCCACATCCAACGCATCTGTAGTCCCAATGTTCTACAAACAAAAATAGATCTTTTGAGAGAAATATTGGTCAAAAATGAATACCCACCAAGATCCATTGACAAAAATATCAAAGAAATAATTTGGAGAAACGAAACTTCACTTGCGCCGAAAAAGAAACTTTACATGAACTTGGATTTCAGGGGAGATTTAACAAGCGATATTCTCAAGAGAAGGATTGCATCATCTCTGAGAAGCACATTCTTTGCAACAACGCTAAGAATAGTGTTCTCCAGTTGCCCAGTGATTTGCGGAAGCCTTAAGGACAAGATCCTTCATCTAACCACTTCTATGTGCAAGTATCAGTTTATCTGCGATTGTGGAGCTAGGTACATCGGTCGTTCGACGCGCATCCTATCCAAGAGGACTCAAGCACACTATCCAGCATGGTTGCGAAAAAGCAAAAGTGGTACTATAGAGAATGCGATAACTGAACACCCAGATAGCTCTGATCATTCCTTCTTAATAAACGCCTTCTACAAAGAAATCTACAGAGTTAAGAATAACCTACCAAAGGCAATACGGTTTCTTCGTCTTTGTATTGCTGAAGCTCTGGCTATTCACACAGAAAAAGCGTAGCTGTGCATAAAAAAGAGAATTACTCAACCATTTCTACTATCATGGTAACAACTTTGTTGATTTTTGATGACTTAATTAATCTCAACTTCATCGACTTTGAAAAGGCATTCGACAGACACCATCGATCGAGAGGTGATTTGGAAACTACTTCGCTACTACAGTCTGCAACCGACAATTATACATCTCATCCAACAGCTGTACGACAATGCTGCATGCCAAGTAATCCACAACGGGAAACTTACGGAATCCTTCGAAGTGAGGACAGGAGTAAGATAAGCTGGCTGCCTACTATCACCAATGATTTTCCTGATTGCAGTAGACTGGATAATGCGACAAACAGCGGCGCAATGAGGAAACAGGCATAAAATGGACTCACACAAAAAACTTGGAGGATCTGGACTTCGCCGATGATATATGTCTGATTTCCCACAAACTGGAAGATATGCAAGCGAAAAGCAACAAGTTGGCAGAAGAAGCATCCAGAGAAGATAGGACCACTTCAGGTGAACATAGAGAAAACAGACGTGGGTGATGAAGATTCCTGGGCAACCACACCAACAGCAACAACAACAACAGACAACAATCAGCATAAATGGGAGGAACCTGAAAGAAACAACCTCTTTTACCTACCTAACTTGGAAGCATCGTTTCAACTACAGGCGAACGGATCTGACGAGGATATCAAAGCAAGAATCGGAAAAGCAAGACAAGCTTTCACTACTCTCAAGTCTATGTGGAGGTCAACAGTCAGCACTCAGCATCAAAAATAAGATCCGGATTTTCAACTCCAATGTGAAGTCAGTCAGTGCTACTATACGGATCAGAGACTTGCACTGCGCGTCATAAAGAGCATCTCAAACAAACTACACACCTTCATCAACAGCTGTCTTCTCTCAGTACTACTCAAGATCAGATGGCCGGCCAGAAAAGATCAGCAACAAAGATCTCTGGCAATGAGCAAACAACCTAGCAGGAACCGACTGTGAAACAAATAGGCAGGAAGAAATGGAGATGGATTGGCTGGCCATATTCTGAGGAAACCATCAAGTGAGTGACATCACTAGACAAGCCATTGCTCGAGTGGAACCCGACAGAATGGAAGCGGCGAGTTGGTCGTCAGTGCGAGGGTGACTTGGAGGAGGTCATGTGAAGAGGAGATGAAAACGTGTGGGCAGACTTGGAGCCAGGTGAAGACTCTAGTAGAGAACCGAACGCAGTAGAGACGTGTGGCTGAAGCCTTGTGTTCCTCTAGGAATTAAAGGAAACAATAATAATAATTTTGTTTGTTTGCCTGTTCTTTAAGTGCTTATAATTTTTGTTTTCTATAGTTTGGTTTGTAAGGGTTTGTTATGTTTTTACTAGTTGATCACGGACTGATATCAGTTAGAGAACCATTGAAAACCAGGGAGTACTGGACAGCTGCTGTTTCATCGGCAGTACTAAAATGGTGGCCACATTACAACCTGACTGATAGAATTCAGTCTGCAACAAAGAGAGGACTAGACGCATCACACTAGTTACTAGTGTCAAATCAAAACGTCTCCATATATGCCTAAAAGAGGAAGACGAATGATTTCTCTCTGAGTGAATAGTAGAAATATCCAGATGTTTCACTTAAGGAAGAAGTTGTCAGGTAGAATATTTACTGACAGAAATCGAGCATTTTGGTCCAGAGAAATCAACTAATAGGAATTTTAAAAAGGTGAATAAAGCTATCGATCTCTTTTACAGAAGACATGCGTCTAGAAGATTAACAGCCCGCTGTATGACAGTTTGTCTTTTAAAACGATGTTTTTTCGATCCCAGTCTCAGTGGAACATCAAAACTCAATGAGATGCATACATAACCATCTGATGAGCTGCAAATAGGATGAAACACGAGTCTGTATTCAACTGACAGTGATCATTCAACAAAGAACAGGAAGAAATGTCGTTTGGTTTTGGTCTGTTTTCCTTCGAGTTGAGTTGGTAAACTTAAGAAATCAAAAGTGTATGATTTAGCAGGATAGATATAATCGCATTTAATAGTTAACATTCATGTACTTACCAATGAACGACCACCAATATATGTAAGGTCAGTGAACTGCATTGTAGAGTTGTTCACTACATTTACACCACTGAAATTACTGAACAAATATGTAATGTATCCCCTGTATGATCCAGTGATAGCAGGTCCATAAACATTGATAATTGGATTGTGATTTCCAGGCGGTAAGGTGATATCTAAGTCAACAAACCAGGTGTCGTAGAGACAATAACTAGCGTCCTTCTTAGTGTTTGATCTGTAAAATTTGATACTACCTACAGTTGGTGCTGTTATAACAGCCTGGAAAAGAGAAGAAAATTCACATATTTAACAAGCACACAGTGTGTGTAAGTGATACTTGCATTATTTACTATTTGTCAAACCACATCATTCACTCATTTACAGCGTGAGAAATACATTTCACCCATTTCAACTCTACTTCCTTTCAACTGGCTACCAACAACTTTTATTTTACAATAAAAAAAAACAGAAATCCAACTGTATTTGAGAAGTATTGAACCTGGGACTCATGACATGGGCTCAGATAAATATCTGTATTAATCAAAAGATTTTAGTTTATGGAAGCTTTCGGATGTAACAGTATTCCCACTCAGTAATCTCACCTCATATTTTTTAAACAATCGCATAATATTTACGTGAAAAATAGAATCAGTTTGACACAAAAGTAAGGCGTAATTAATACCTTGACTGAGTTAGATTTAGGAACCTGCTCATATATTGTGAGATGTTTGGCTATTTGCAACGGTGTAATCGTATGACTGTTTTTCTCGTAAAGTTAAAGAATTGATAATAGCGTCATTTGGACATTCAAATCTCTTCTGTTGCTGATTATTATGATTATTATTATTGTTTCCTTTAATTCCTAGAGGAACACAAGGCTTCAGCCACACGTCTCCATTGCGTTCGGTTCTCTACTAGAGTCTTCACCTGGCTCCAAGTCTACCCACACGTTTTCATCTCCTCTTCACATCACCTCCTCCAAGTCACCCTCACACTGACGACCAACTCGCCGCTTCCATTTCAGGTTCCACTTGAGCGATGGCTTGTCTAGTGATGTCACTCACTTGATGGTTTCCTCAGAGTATGGCCAGCCAATCCATCTCCATTTCTTCCTGCCTATTTGTTTCACAATCGGTTCCTGCTGTGTTGGTTCGCTCATTGCCAGAGATCTCTGTTGCTGATCAACTCTGGCCAGCCATCTGATCTTGAGTAGTATTGAGAGAAGACAACTGTTGATGAAGGTGTGTAGTTTGTTTGAGATGCTCTTTATGACGCGCAGTGCAAGTCTCTGATCCGTATAGTAGCACTGACTGACTTCACATTGGAGTTGAAAATCCGGATGTTATTTTTGATGCTGAGTGCTGTTGACCTCCACACAGACTTGAGAGTAGTGAAAGCTTGTCTTGCTTTTCCGATTCTTGCTTTGATATCCTCGTCAGTTCCGTTCGCCTGTAGTTGAAACGATGCTTCCCAGTTAGGTAGGTAAAAGAGGTTGTTTCTTTCAGGTTCCTCCCATTTATGCTGATTGTTGTCTGTTGTTGTTGTTGCTGTTGGTGTGGTTGCCCAGGAATCTTCATCACCCACGTCTGTTTTCTCTATGTTCACCTGAAGTGTCCTATCTTCTCTGGATGCTTCTTCTGCCAACTTGTTGCTTTTCGCTTGCATATCTTCCAGTTTGTGGGAAATCAGACATATATCATCGGCGAAGTCCAGATCCTCCAAGTTTTTTGTGTGAGTCCATTTTATGCCTGTTTCCTCATTGCCCGCCGCTGTTTGTCGCATTATCCAGTCTACTGCAATCAGGAAAATCATTGGAGATAGTAGGCAGCCAGCTTGTCTTACTCCTGTCCTCACTTCGAAGGATTCCGTAAGTTTCCCGTTGTGGATTACTTGGCATGCAGCATTGTCGTACAGCTGTTGCTGATCTTGCTAACTAATCTAATCATTTGCTGTTACCATATACACCTTAATATTCTCCATAATGACATTCTAGTTATAAGGTTTTGTGCAAGTTATTCACATTTGGCCTTCCACTCTCTCCTATCACAACATTTGAATGTTACACACGAAAAAGCATAACCAAACGATAAATTGAAATCACAGATTAAGAAATTCACTCTCCCAATAATTTACATTTCATCGCTTATATAGATCTCAACGTTTGCTCTGATATTGAAAATTATTTGCTCTAATTTATTCTTTTTATTTACTGATATATATACTAAGCCGTTTATCATGATTAGGAACTGTAAAGTAGAACTGTCCGCTTCTCACTTCAGACTAACATTTTCTGTCTTTGTTAATATTTGGTTCCAACATTGTTACTGGAATTGTGTTTTAGCTGAGTATCCAATCCCACAATGCTGTTTGTCGTCAAGCAGGAATACATGAAATCTTACACATCCGTTCAGTTTCACAGTTTGACTTGATAAGTGAAATACCTTGGAATAACCAGTCCAACTTTTCTGCAGTCGGTACATTCGTAAATAGTGATGATACCCTCGTGGATAACATAAGTTTATTGCTAATGTTAGCCTCAGACATTTTAGAGATAAAGTTAAAGACATCACTAACTGTATATCGCACAATTTTGTTGTGCAAAGTTCCCAGAATCCTGACTAACTTCTTTGGTGTTCCATGATATAGTGAGTTATAAATGTCTGAAAGTGAATATTTTACGCAGCAAACCTATGTTTGTCATTCTCTAGTCGACGAATGATGTGGACTCGAACGAAAGATAAGCTAGATAGTTTTGCCACATCTATGCATATTCATTGGTTCAAATGCTCCTGAGGAGACAGTTATGTTGGGCATACTACTAGATAGCTTATCCAATGTGTTACTAAACATCTCCCAACGTGGTTTGGCAAAGCACAGACAAAAACCATCCTTAGCTTCGTTTGTTATATTTAGTTGATAGTGATCACAGTATAGAAGACGAAAGCATGCAATGTGATTCATTGCATCCCACCGAATCTTTCATATGGACTTGGTATTCGTCTACTACATACTGCTAAGGCAACAAGCATTCGATCTAATAAGCCTGAACCAGACATTCAAAAGACGTTTCCTCCATTGGTTAATTAATGACTAACCAACTGGGGATGTTAAGACCACCCTTTCCCTAGACTTTTAAATCCCACTCTTATCATCCCTTAATCTTACACCATCTTACATCACCATGAGACATCTATACGCGCGAGGTGATCCACTACGGAAAATTCAGCGAAGCTTTCGAGGCGAACACAGGAGTAAGACGAAAGAGGCTGCCCACTATCGTCTATGACATTCTTAGTTGTGCTGGACTGGATCGTGCATCAGACTGTGCATGCGGACTGAGAAGGAAGGAATACACTGTACTCACCGATAAGAAGACTCTAGGAGACCTGGATTTCACACATCGACGATTTATGTTAAATGTCACGCAAACTTGAAGACTTGCAACTGAAAACCGACAAACTGGTAGAAGAGGCTAGCAGCGAAGACCTAACTTCAAGTGAACATAGAGAAGCCGGAGGTGATGAAGATAACCAACAAACCAACCAGCAACAGCAACAACAAGCACCAATCACCATCAATAGAATTGGTTAGAAGGAGATCACGTCCCTCACTTGTTCAGCTATGCAGCATTGTTTCAACCACAGGTAGTCGGAATGAATGAAGATGTTGAAACCAGCCAGCCAGAAGTGGAAATGCAAGATACGTCTTCGTCAAACTGATACCAGTTTGCAAATCTTATGCACTCCACCTCAGCATAAACAACGAGATTCGGATTCTGTTCAACACAAATGTGAAGTCAGTCAGCCAGCGCTTCTATATGGGTCGGAAGCTTGCACTGCGTGTCTTGAGTAGGATTTCCAACAAGTTACAGACTTTTTTTAACATCTTTCTCCTTCGCTAGCTGGCTCCACACTGAAGATCGAATGGCCAGCCAGCCAGCCGGCCAAAAAGAATTAGCAACGAGAGACTCTGTCTGGGAACAAACGAAACGAGCACGAGCCGATTGCTTACCAAATAAGTAGGGGAAAATGGAGTAGGATGGGGATGGGCATACACCGAGGAGACCGTCGAATGACATGGCGCGCAATGCAGACCACTTCTCGAGTGGAATCCCAATGGGAAGCGACGAGTGGGTTGTTAGTGCGAGGGTGACATGAAGGAGATCGTGTGACGAGGAGGAGATGAGAGACTATGTGAGATCATGAGCCCAGCTGAATAGGACAACAGAAAATGGAACAAACTGGAGATGTGTTTTTGAAGTCTTATGTTCTACTCGGAACCCAAGGGAATAATAATAAATAATAATAGGTCTATATTTAGAATTTATTTGTAAAGTTATGTGTATTAGAGTTAAGTCTATTGTGATTCAATTGAAAAAAGAGTATAGTCTTCAGGGCAGAACATAAAAGTGATACTAATCACTTTGTGGTTAGGAAGAAGTTATCAATTTAATAAGGCCTAGTTCTAGAGCAGCAAGATGCATCCTAGTCATGAAATATGTCCACAGATAGATTATTTAGACGTCAATTAGCACACATAAATCAACTGAATTGATGGCAGTTATAAAGAATTTAAACAGAAACATTTTTTTTGATTACAGAATTTTCATCATGAGCTGACATTAGATAGAGAACTATTGGAAAACCTGGGAGTACTGGACAGCTGTTTTGTCCTAGTGAGAATTCATGGGCCATTGGATCGGGTCTCAGTGGCTTAATAGCATACGAGCTCGCCTTGTAACCAGAAGGTCCTGAGTTCGAATCCCGGTGGGTGCGTACTTCTGAAGAGTCCCAAACTAGGCTGACGAAACAGCTGTCCAGTACTCTCATCTGGTTTTTCAATGGTTCTCTAACTAATGTCAGCTCATGATGAAAATCCTGTAGCCAATCAAATCCCTACAAACCAACACAAACATTTTTTTTGTTTATCTGAAAAATTAGTAGTTGACCTTGCTCCGCGAACTGATAATTTTGTGAAGTATGCTTATTTAAGTAAAACATCTTAACTCTCATCTGACTTGCTATGTTCCCTCATCCTTTTATTACATTTTTATATGTATGTAGGAGGGGAGTTGGCGACAGGTTTCGGCAATGTGTGCTAGTATGCCTGTATATAGCATATTTCACCTATTTCACCTATTTGGGAAGTTGTATCAGCACCAACGGATTGATTGGTGACGAAATCTCAGCACGGATCCAAAAAGCTCGGGCTACTTTCGCTAACTTACACCATCTCTGGCGTAGGCGTGACATCCGGCTATCAACCAAGGGACGTGTGTACTGCTCAGCAGTTCGCTCCGTCCTTCTCTATGGCTCTGAAACATGGCCAATACGAGTTGAAGACATGAAAAGGTTGACTGTTTCTGATCATAGATGTCTTCGATCTCTTTCTCACTTTAGGTGGTATAATAAGGTAAGCAATGTTGACGTCAGGCGTAGAGTGTTGGGCAAAGACAGAAAATCAATCGAAGAGGCTATAAAGTTACATAGATTGAGATGGCTAGGTCACGTGCTGCGCATGCCTAACCATCGCATCCCACGACGGACGGGCATTACTAGCTGATATAGGTGCAGGTTGGAAAAGAGTAAGTTGTGGTCAAACAAAAACATGGCCTCATCAATCCATGAAATCCCTGACAGTTAAACTGAGTCAGGTAGGGAGGGAGATGCAGACTTCCGGGTTGGGGCCCACCCTCGGGACTCTAAGAATCAATGGCTGGAGACAATAGGTGACATGGCTCAAAATCGTTGTCAATGGCTTACGCAGATGTATTCAGTCTCTGTAATCTTTCATATTCCTTTCTGCCATTACTCATTCTGTTTCACTTTTATACTTGTCAAAACTCTATTGATTCTCTTCAGTCATTTTCTTGTCTACCTTTGTGTGCTATTTGGAACGTGGCAACTGGAACTGCTGCACTTCGGTGCCAAGTTCTATGTTGAATCCAGCAGCAGCAGCGGCATATAGCAATGATAATTTATCGACTCACCAGTGTGTTTCTGGAATAAGTTCATGCTATGATAACTCAGTGTGTCATCACAAGCATAAGTTTAGAAAAATAGGTGGTTCCTACTGAGTATCTCAGAGCAATGCGTTTCTACTCAGAATACTTTGATCAGTAAAAAACTTGAAGATGAGGTATGTACAGTCATATATTAAGAGAGAGAGAGATAAAGAGTTAAATATTCAAGACATACCCTCTTAACACGAGAAACTCTCCTTTCTACTTCTTCATCAGAATGACTATCGTAAATTGATACCCTGACAATTGCCTCATCAAGTACTCCCAAATGGTTATTGTCCTCTCGAATAGTCACATTAAATTCAACTGTACGATAAATTTGTGTTTTCTCCAATAAATTGTTGGAGTACAAAATACCACTCTTGGAGTCAATCTGTAAAGGCAATTGGCTTGCATTAGACACGATTTCGAAGTGAACATTTCCACATGTTGCTATAGAAGAGTTTTCATCACTTAATGGTAGACGGCCAATCACACCTCCATCAATTATATCTGAGAGCTTCTTTTCGAATTTGAATTGCCTCTGAATGAATGTAGGTTTTCTAGATACTAAAGTGAGAAAAGAATATTTATTGTAAATTAGGAATACCACAGTGAAAGCTGGAAACGCAGACTGATAAATACATTGAAGATAGTATAGAAGTTATTAACTCAAATAAGGTGCGTTCTCGTATATTGAAGGAAGAAGCAACATAGCCTAAGCATACTGGTTTAAATATGAAGCATACACTTTCATATTTCAAATTTCATTTGTTCAAAATATTTTTACAAAGTAGCTTTAGTTAGCAGGTGTTTATTTGCTTCTGTTATTCTCATAATCAAAGGGGTAAATGATTTCTGAATTTATGCAATGGTCACAAGAACTGGATGTCTCGAGTGAAATGCTTTCAATGCCAGGAACCTATGCCGTCTGAGTGAAACATAACTGTAGAGAATGCTCTTCACAGTGAGTTGTTTTCACTCTGCTTATGATTCCTGATTGACCCAAATCGTCTCATAAAATTCACCTTTGACTTTACCTCTACACAAGCGACTAGTAACCTTCAGCAAGGTCACTGTCAACACTTTTTTTTTATTCCTTCACGTTCCCAGTGGAAAATAGAGCTTCAAGCTAGAGGCTTGAAGTTTCTGTATCAGTGTTTATTTTTACAGGATGAGGTTGCTAGCCTCACGCCCAACCTTTCCCCTTTACCAGCTTTATTTCTGGCTTAACGAGGTAAAGGAGTGCGTCGGTGGCCGGGGATCGAACCCCGGACCATGTGCATGGTCGGCGAGCATCCTAACCACTGTGCCACCGATGCACACTGTCAACACTTAATTGAATACTATTATCACAGTGTTTCATTACTATCAAGTGTTCGGTGCAAAATAAAGTCACTGACAGGTTCAACACATTGTGAGGACGGTATTTACAATCTGTGATGCACTGAGTAACCTCCTGTGTCACTGGAATAAGGCATAAATATTTTTCAATAAATTCTAGTGACATTAGTAGATTATTGCATATATTTTCATTTCAATCCCATAGAGATTTCTTCAAGGCTGTAATGAATTACAGATAGACACTACGACAAGGTTGCAGTCGGTTAGATTACCTACCACACTTCTTCAGCCTTATGAGTTTCGCAAAATTAATTCACGTCAAAAAAAGCAACTTTCAGTCTTGAAAACACCACTTAGATTGTCGATTTAGACTGAATATTATCAAGATAACCCAGTCTATTCTAGATTAGTTATGGAACATAAAATGATATCACAGCTACAAACACAGATGGATCTTACTTGATGACTATCAGAAGCGAACTCATTACACTGATCCCTCCCACGATGTAATCCCTAAAGCTTTCGACAAACGAAATTCAAATAGGATATCAGATTAGAGTGCTGTTATCACTATGCCCTCAGAAAACGATGTGTTCTTAAATAACTACGACTTAATAAATCATTGGACATCAGTATGCATAAATTCTAACTATCATCGTTCGACCCCAAAAACAAATGAGTCAAATCCAATCATAACTTACATCTTTCTCCACAGTTTTCACCTGTCCAACATGTTTCACATACACATACACCGTTAATACACTGCCCGTGAATACAGTTCCTAGAAAGAAATATTGATTATACTGGTTATTCTATAACAATGTGTCATTTCTCATTGATGGGTAAAGCTATTATTACCCAGTCACTAAATCTTACACTGACAATAGATAAAGTCTCAAACTGACACATCTCTCTCTCGCACTACACCACATAAAAGTGAACTGAATCACTAGACGAAATAATTCGATAATTTTGCATTACTAGATTGTAAATGTTAATTACTCTTTGAATCTTAATTTTATGATGAAAGGAAACGTATAGTTTACACATTTGTGAGAATGGTCACTTAATTTCTCAGAATACAAAGAAAAGGACGAGTTCAGTCTATACCGATTACCTCAACATCGGTAAAAATTGAGTGTAATGTGAGGCAAAAGATGACGATCATTCTCTTTACAAGACATTCTCCTAGAAGCTTCACTCTACTCTCTACTTTTCTGTGCAGACTTGCAAATGATGGCTAAATACACTGAGGATATATCTAAGAATCTTTTGCAAACGTAACTGTTGGTAAGTTCTCACTGGCAATTACACCTTAGGATAAATAGCTTGCCGTTATATTTCATACTGTCATATAAGTAACCAGTGGTAAGCTCATCATTTGGATATTGTTAGTAGAAGATGGAAATTATCTGAAAAATGGGATGTATGCGGTGTGATTGAGCAATATATTTCAAATGATCTGATTCCTCACACATTTACTTGTCAATTCGATGTATACGAGAAATAAAGGCCGATTGAATTATACAAAGTGACAAAAAGGATTTAATGGGGGTGGATACTGCCGATGAGTCCCATACTGGTGCGAAACAGCTGCCTAGTACTCCTTAGTTCTCAATGGTTCTCAAATTGGTATCAATCCATGGCCTAACTTGAAACAAACAGAATCCTCATAAATTAATTCTTGAAGATTTAAGAATAATAAGAATAATTGACACCATGTTTGGCTATCTAATTAGATAAGGATTACCAAGGTAGGTTGTGAGTAATACCAGATGATTTTTATACCTTGGTAATCCCTACAGACAACTACAGGCAACAATGGACAATACTCCAGGTGGTGACATTAAAATACTAATGGGAGACATGAACGCCAAACTGGGATCAAACAACACAGGAAGGGAACTCATCATGGGTAGAGAAGCTCTCGGAGGAATGAATGAAAACGGAGAACTCTTCGCCGACTTCTGCGCCTTCAATGAACTAGTGATTCGTGGCAGCGTATACAAACACAAGGATATCCACAAGGCTACATGAGTGTCACCAGATGGGCGAACCAAATACCAAATCGACTTCATCTCAATCTCAAGGAAGTGGAGGCGCAGCTTACTGGACACAAAAGTAAGAAGAGGAGCAGACATTGGCTCAGACCACTATCTAGTACAAGGGACAATCCAAATCAAATTAAAAGCTTTCAGAGAATCAGGGGCTGCAGATAGACCACAAGCCAAGTTCAACACTCAAAAACTGAAGGACCAGGACACAAAGGACATCTTCACTGCAAGCATAAAGGACAAAGCCGAGACACAAATCAACACTGGCGAAGAGGTCAGCGTCGAAAAGCACTGGAACAACTTGAAAACAGTGTGGAGTCAAACCTGCATGGAAGTTCTAGGCAGAAAGAAGAGACAGGACAAACAGTGACTCACTACGGACACTTGGAGACTAATAGAAGAGAGAGGGATGGTGAGACAAAAGATTATCCAGTGCACCGATGAGCAACAAAAACAGGATTTGAATGCAAGCTACAATACACTGAACAAAAGAGTAAAGAAGAGTGCCAGAGAAGACAAAAGAAAGTACTATGAAACCATGGCAAGTGAGGCAGAACAAGCTGCAGGCAAAGGAGACCTCGCAACACTCTACCAAACAACTAGGTACCTATCGGGCAAAAGTTTGACACAAATTAAGCCGGTGAAGAATGACAATGGAAAGTCACTCACCAAAGAAGTGGAGCAAAGGAAACACTGGGCTGAACACTTCAAAAGACTCCTAAATTGACCACCAACTACAACGCGCCCAACAATACCAACAACGGAGACAGAGCTACCAGTGAACACCAACCCCTCGACGAAATCAGAAGTCCTGAAGGCAATCAAGATGCTAAAAGCTGGAAAAGCAGCAGGACCAGATGGAATCCCAGCAGAAGCATTGAAAATGGACCCAGAGACAACAGCGGACTTGATGATGCCACTACTGGAGAAGGTGTGGAAAGAAGGCAAAGTACCCGAGGATATCAAAGCAAGAATCGGAAAAGCAAGACAAGCTTCCATTACTCTCAAGTCTATGTGGAGGTCAACAGCACTCAGCATCAAAAATAAGATCCGGATTTCCAACTCCAATGTGAAGTCAGTCAGTGCTACTATACGGATCAGAGACTTGGCCAGCGCGTCATAAAGAGCATCTCAAACAAACTACAGACCTTCATTAACAGTTGTCTTCGCTCAGTACTCAAGATCAAACGGCAGGCCGGAAAAAATCAGCAACATGGATCTCTGGAGCGAACCAACACAGCAGGAACCGATTGTGAAACAGATAGGCAGGAAGAAATGGAGATGGACTGGCTGGCCATACTCTGAGGAAACAATGCATCAAGTGACATCACTAGACAAGCCATTGCTCGAGTGGAACCCGACAGAATGGGAGGCGGCGAGTTGGTCGTCAGTGCAAGGGTGACTTGGAGGAGGTCATGAGAAGAGGAGATGAAGGCGTGTGGGCAGACTTGGAGCCAGGTGAAGACTCTAGCAGAGAACCGAACGCAATGGAGACGTGTGGCTGAAGCCCTATGTTCCTCAAGGAATTAAAGGAAATAATAAGAATAATCCCTATCTGATTAGATAACCAAACATGGTGTCAATTATTCTTATTATTCTGAAGCCCTTTTTGTCATTTTGTGTATTTTAATCGGCCTTTATTATTCATACAAATTGACTTGACAAGTAAATGTGTGTAGGGATTAGATTCTTTGAAATGTATTCAGCAAATACACCACCACATACATCACATCACTTTTTCAGATAATCTCCGTCTTCCGATAACACTATGCAAATTTATAAAAGGGACTAATTGTTTTAAAGGGATTGTTATCCATCCTTCAGAAAAATGAATATTATTCACCCAGTTGGTTAACTGAGTGATACTCAATTATAACGCTGTCCTTCATTAGTGTATGAATAATGAACTCCAGTGAAGAGAAGAGATATGAACAGTACATGTTCACTTGGAAAAAGGGGCCAGTAATTACAAACACTGACATTTGAAAAACTACGCCCTCAAATTATGAATAACCATATAAAAAGGTGGGGGATACTGTTAGGAAGAACATCCAGTGAAACAAAGACAGAGGGAGAGAGTTGTAAGACGTAATTTAAAAGGTATAATCATTCATGAACACGATACTTCTACTAGCAACATAAAACTCCTTGTAATAAAAAAATATTCCTGAAAACTGGCCGACTCACCCCGAATTGACTTCACATGTTTCCACTGACTCTCCAGATATACACAAAACTAATAATGAACAACAAAAATTCATGTGTGATTTCAATGATAACTTGAAAACTTACTCATAGAAGTGGTAAGTAGAATAACTGTTAAGCATTTCAAGTGCGACTGCATTTTCAAGAAGAAAACTGAAAGAGCGTAGAAAAGAATTTTGTGTTTATTTCTCCTTCTTTATCCGGCCGTCTTATTTTGTGCCTTTATATAATATTTTCAGTTCACTTGACCTGGTAGCTATGGTAGGAACACATATTGATGAGCCAATCAAATTTTAAGGAGATATTTTTTTATTAACATCATTCATTGTTCACTAGCAGCCAACTAGGCTGTTCTAAAGTAAAACTACATATGTGAAAATTTACACTGGAAAGGCCGCATAACTGTATGAAAGTCTCAGTTGTCCTGTAACAGTTGCTTCGTTGACGTAAGTTCAATGTGTTATATCATGCATTGAAAGTAAGTACAAAACATCCACCAAGGCGTGTAAAATGAGACTGAACAAAGAGAATTTTATGTGTTCAAAAAATATCTCCTACACTGATCATATATTTATGCGTTGAAGTTTCTGTAGCAATTTGGTTAAGTTTTGCGGGTGGAGTTGCTAGCACCACACCCCAACCCTCCCCCTTTATCCGGGCTTGGGACCGGCTAGAAAACTAGCGAGCTAGTAATCTAGGCGAGGTTATGCAGGAGGACACTCGCTGAGGAGGCCGATGGGTGACATCGCGCGTCATGCCCTCGAGTGGAACCTGAAAGGGAAGCGGCGAGTGAGACGTCCAAGAGTGACATAGAGGAGATCGTGTGAAGAAGAGTTGAAACAGCATAGACTAACATGTATGCAAGTGAAAAGTACAGCAGAAGATAGAAGCAAATGGAGACGCACAGTTGAAGCCCTATGTTCCACTAGGAATCCAAGGGAACAATAATAATAATAACACACTGATGATATAAAATAGGTTAAACTGGAAATCTATTTTAAATAGAGATTTTGTGTACTTGAGAAGGAGTTCATTTTCAAGCGAAGGTACAATCTATTTCAAGACTCTTTGCTTTGAATGCACACCTTTATATACTTCTACAGATGGCTGTTTAGATTCTAACATCATCAAAATGTAATATAGTCTACTTTCCACAGTGCCTAGCAATCTGTAGTATTTCCTAGTCTATTTCACACTTTCTATTCATCTGTGGAGTCTAGAACAGTATGATTGTACAGTTGTTTTTTTTGTTAGACGTTAAAAATGGAAACATTGTGTACATGACTTTTGTTTGAAATGATTCATTGTAAAAATACATAATTCCGAGTACAATCTAAAATACAGTGGGCTGCTGGAAGCTTCGTATTCTCACTGGTCCACACTGTCTGCTTGTTTCACTACTAACCATGTTGTATCCTTTGGATTTTGGAGGAATTTCTCAACCTCATCCAAAGACTATTCTACAGCTGGTGCACAGCTTCGACTAGTAGACACGACTCCAGCAGTGAAGACTTCTGTAGATTATATTAATAATTTGTAGCAGCGGACTTTAACTGTATCACCAAGTAACCATTAATTTCAATAACCCATTAACTTTATGCTTATAATATATCAATGCAATATTATTTCATAAACGTGGATTTATCTTCTGATATTTTGTGCCGTTATCGAGCTCGCTTTAAAGTCACCTACAAATCGGTGCCTACGTGCTGCTTATTGAAATTCCATCCATCCTTCCATACATTGCAGCACATCTGTGAAATACGTCTGATTTCCTCTCAAGATAGAGAAAATATATCACAATTTTAATGCAATTTTCATGGTGCATTCTGAAAGAACTCTTGTAAATAATAAGCAGGTCACAAGAAATGTAGTCATAAATTCGATAAGAATGTTCAAGTGTTGCTATGATATTAAACATGTGTACCTCATTTGGTACAGCAAACAGTGCGTGAACATCTTTAAATAGCAATTCATCCTAGAGCGACTAGTTTACTCACTGAAGCTCTAACAGTTCGGGAAATTTCCATCATCTACTTTTATGTTGCCCTAGTAATAATATATCTTCATCTCAACCATCAGATTCAAATCTTGAATGTTCGTTCATCTAAAGTTGAGTTGATTTAGTGTGACTATTTATCTGTATTCATTCATTTAACTACACCAAAACTGGTGTGTGGTAAAAGTATCATGCTTTCTCCATTCACTGGATTTTTGTCATGGCGTCTGATAACCTTTGGCTTGGATTTTGCCTTGGCCGTGAATAGTTGAGAAGAACGAACGAAATATATCAGTGTCACATTAGGCTGTTGTAACTGTTCTTCTTGCTTATTTTGAAGTTCACAATAACACGAAATGCATGTAACCTTTGAAGAAATACACAACAGTCATCTAGAATGAAGTTGAAATTACAGACAAACCTTAAAAGTCTCTCCTACTAGATAGAGTTTTTCATACAACCAATGGACTGCCAATCTGCACGTCAGTTTACTATAGCAGCATTTAGCTCTCTTGAAGTTGCTGTCACACTTTTCATGTTTTGTATGTAGTTCACTGACGAGCTAGTAACGATGAACACGGTAACAGAAAAGTTCTAGGTTGAAGCCACTGAACATAAGGGGAAAGTGAGGAGTGGCTTTGTTGCCTATCCCTGTTAATTGTAGTACCATACATAGCACGCTGCTATGGTGGTTTAATGACAAATTATGTTTTTCGTAAGCTTTTGAAATGAAATTTTGCTCTATAATTACTTTTCTGGAGTGCATATTATCCGTCATATTATATATTCTTCAACAGCGTTACATTTACTGCACTTTTATCAAAAAAGTTGTCTGATACTGATATCTACACAATGTAATGCGTTGAATTAAGCAGTAAGTTCAAAAGTTAAACGTTTATTTTTAGATTTTTATGAAATAATGCTGGGAGTTTTTGACCTATTTATTGGAAAGCCCAAACAGCCACCGGATTGAGCAGGTGACGCCACTTCATAAAAGGAATATGCCATATAATCGCCCAAAGTGAGAGGCAATATGACCACGTAAAGAGTTATACAGAGAGCATACTCAAGGACACATCAAATATAGAAATGTGTCAAATAAGATTTATCTCTGACGTGGAATATACTTACTTACATTCAAAAGTCTGAACACACTTCTGAACGGAGAAAAGCTGTGAAACATAAATGTGCTAGCTGTTTTCCAGGAATATTCAAGATTTAGATACAGGTGTTGAATTATCGCATGTCATATTTCACATCAAACGAATAAGCTTATACATGTACAAGAAAGAACATGCATATTTCAATAAAACCTTCACACCTTCAGTGTTGAGTGGACATTGTTGAATTTGCTGGTAGGATCTCTGTGGGGAAAATGTACTACAAATGATTATTTTTTACTCAAGTAGTTTTGTGTATAAATGTTTTGAGTACAGAAACGGGTGAGGCAATTCTTCAGCATACTGTAAGCCTGTTACTAGGACTTATTTTCACATTGAAAAATGAATCAACTATTGGCTAATTAGGCTTAAGCTGATCACTACAAAATGGCAAGGACGCATTTTGTTGACGTTAATCTTTTGAAATCTCAGTTTAATTTATCGTTGAATGATATTGTGTCCACAGTAGCTTGTGGTATAGTCACTCTGATAACTCTTCAATGTAGAAGTTGCTGTCAACTTCTGGAGGCTTTCGCAATTCCTTCCGTGAATCAGTTCGCACGAAAGCGTTGAAAAGAAGATACGAACTATCTATGATACATTCATAGAATTCGGGCATTATGGTATAGTTTAATTCCATAATAGAATAATTTTTACTTAAGAAAAATCCCCTGCGACACGGTATTATTTAAGGACAACGTTTTGTAAACAATTCATTCATCACTGTCACATCAAGGTGCTCACATAGAGCCTCCACATTTCGTTTTCATAGTTCCATTATTTCCTATCCTTTGATTTGATTTCAAATTAAATCTCTCATATCTTTGGTATTTTTACTGCGTCACTCTCACTGAAAGTGTTTTCTGTAGATTCGATAAACGAAGATTCAGTGACCAGCCTTGTTTTCCTCACTTAATCACATTTCTTTTCGAAATTTCGGTTCTGTCCCATTCTGCTGTGTGAAGGTTTGTTCGTGCATGAAGTGCAAATGATAAGTTTTTCTATCAGTTAGCCGTCTTTTTCGGAAATCCGAAACTCTATGCACAATTGCAAATAAAGTAAGAATTAGGTTGGTATTCGCACCTGCAAACTGTCATCCAAAATCAAGCTCTGTGTGCTATACAGCCATATTAGACAAGATAACTCAATCTTCAAGTGTTGGTCTACAAGTATTTGACTGATTTCAAGTGAGATGACAAACTGTTCGCTCACTAAGGGAAAAATCCGTCATTTGTGATCCATGCAAGAACACACTTCCACATAATAGGATGAGACAGAAGCACAGGTCGGTCGCTAAATCTTTGTTCCTCGAATCTACAGGAAACACTTGCAGTGAGAATGACACAGCACAAATACCAAAGATGTGGAAAGTTTAATTTGCTGCAAAAAATCAAAGGAGAGGAAATAATGGACAGAGGAAAACGGAATATGAAAGCCACATGAGCACCGTCATATGATAATGATGAATAACCTGATCTCGAAAAGTCATCGCTAAATGACAATATATCAGTTATTCTATAAATTTTTTTCCTTCACGTTCCCAAGTGGAACATAGGGCTTCAAGCTAGTGGCTTGAAGTTTCTGTAGCAGTGTTTATTTTACAGGATGGGGTTGCTAGCCTCATGCCCAACCTTTCCTCTTCACCAGCGTTATTTCTGACTCAGCGAGTTAAAGGAGTGCGTCAACCGGGGGTCAAACCCGGACCACGTTGATGGTCGGCGAGCGTCCTAACCGCTATGCCACCAACGCAGTTATTCTATAAAAGGCAGCATTTATTCTGTCACTGATAAAATTCTCCAACGAATCCAGGTTAAGTTTATTTTACCTAAATAATATTGCTTAGACATGAAACCAGGTTTAAATATATATAGATTTCAACGGTATTATTGTAGGTACTTGCAATATCAGCGAATGAACATGCTGTTTCAGCTGTTCATCAGGAACTGTGTTTAGCCACAGTATATAAACGTTTATTTAGTGAGGTGTTAACCGATATAGCTTTGAATATAAGAACAAATAGTTCAGTGAAGAG